TTGAAGTCATTACAAGTGTCAATGTGTCAGGTGTCTTAGGAATCATGTTTCCAGCACACTAGAACAACACAGTGAGGCTATTTGCCAAGAAGTCATCACAAGCCTCTAAAACAAAATCATATGAATGTCTTCATAGGAAGGGGACAAAATGGGTACAGCTGGGCAGAGCTACAGGAAAGGAAAGAGCCTTATCAAGATCCTCTCTTAAATTCTTCAAAGCCTCCAGCTTCAGATAAGAAGACACAGCAGATGAAAAAGTTTCCATTAGTATGCACTAATTCCCTAGACTTAGTAGTTGCTGGAGAAAAATTCTATAGCTACCCAGATATTGGTCAAATTCCACCACACAATGGTTTTCATGTGAAACAGAGTTCTGCTACTTGTTCAATGTATGACTTTGGCCAAATTATATAAATGATGTGGTCTCAGTTTCCTTTTCTGTAAAATGAGGATAATACCATCAATTCCACAAGTGCCAGTCAACTGGAGGCATACAGCAGATACCAACTACTACTGATAACAATATTGCTTTTATAAAAATTTTCTTAAAGTTCAATATTCTGAACCTAGTGCTCAGGTAATCCTTGGAGAATTCACCCAAATGAGTTCAGCAAAAGAAAACCCATTTTTGTGGTGGAATGCTTATTTCACATTTTTATACTAATAGCAATATTTTTTAAACATTATCTTTAGAAGCCTCAGTAGATGTAGGCCTTAAGAAATGGCCCTTCTGAACTCTAAAAAGTTTAAACCCAAAATGTCCATTTTATTAAAACTTTATCTTTTTAGGAAAGCATAGTGGTTTTTTTTTTCTTTTCTTACAAAGACAGTATTTTATCTAACTCTTTGAACCCTCATTGAGAAAGGTGAGACAGGCCAAACACTGCTGGATTACCTTGGATCTAGGATGTATCTTAGAGATGAATAACAACAACTTTAGAGAAAGTTTCTCCTTAATATGCTTAGATCAGAGATCTCAAAGGACTGCAAGAGAGGAACTCTTCTCTAGAATGGGAAGATAAGGAGTATTTGGACACAGCTGACTATCAAGTCCCTGTTTCAAATGGGGAAAAGAGTGGCACTGTCACCTATGTTTCTTTTCCCCACCAAGAATTTCAAACCTCAAGATGGTAGGAAGAATTGAGGAAGACTAAGTAAGAAGTCTGATACAAATTATCCTAATGCTGATGAATGGAACAGGCTCTGACGTCATTGTCATGACAGGCTGCCCTTCCCAATGCCAAAAGTTAGATCGTGCTTCAAAGTTCTGATCTCCAAGCCCCCCTCAGATCAGAAACCCAAGCACAGCCTTTCTTAGAAAATATTGAGTTTATTCTTCCATCCAAAGATCCTTATGATCTTGGAAAATATTTCACTCATAAGAAAAGGAACAAAGATTTTTTTAGTTTAGTTCCTTCCACTCCATTATCTCCTCATGGAATGACCACCTGTGGGTCAATAGCCCCAGAAAAGCTTACATGGGAATCAATGAGCCTTCAGATGCTTCTAATTTCTAGGCTTTAAGTCTTCTAGCTGATGCCCCAGAAAGCCTGAAGCAGACATAGGCCTCCCTACTGTGCCCTAAGTGAGTTTCTGACCCACAGAAACCATGAAAGGTAATATATGATTATTGCTATTTTAAGTTTTGTGGTTATTTGTTACACAACAATAGATAACTAAAATACATTACCTTTCCTCTATTCTAAGATACCATCAATTATAAGCCATCATTGGTTGGATTACATAACAGTCTTTTAGGAAAAAAATAATGCCACATTAAATGCATCCATCAATTTTAAGAAACATTCAAAATGAGAAAGGTGAAAGTCTGAACAGATGTGTGCATTGACATTAAGGAACTACACAGCATGCCAGGACAGCCTGACATGTGACAACCCAAGAAATCCCAACACAAGAACCTTATAGGAAACAGGGGAGGAAAACCCCCAAGCCTTAGCTGTCTCAACCTTAAAAAATAATTTCGTGCTTTCTCCTAAAGAAAGAAGACAGAAGAAGTGGGGATATCATATATTGAATTAATAAAACAGTAGCTTTCAAAGGTCTTGTGCTCCCAGCTGCCATTTATTCATAAAGATATAAAGGAAAAAGTACAAAGTGAGAATAGTAGTTCTCAATCAAATTTATCTATAAGAGATTTATTCAGCCAGACGCATGAGAGGCCAAGGCTTACTTCCTTGGTAAGCCCGTTTCTCTGTTCCAGTTGGACTCCACCACCTGGTCAAAGTTAACTAAGGCTGCCAAAGAAAGTCCTTAGAGTAAATAATGTATTTCTAAAAGATTGAGAGTGAACACTTTGTCTCCACCCCCCCAAAAAATAGGTGACAACATCAAGAAAGGAAATAAAGAACACATTTGATCACCTTTGCCCATTTACACTTCATCACTCTGTTTAGAATCGGCCATAACATTCAGCCCAAAAGTTCTAGAACACTATGTATTCTAAAATAACTGAGATACATTTTACCTACAAACAATCACTACTATATATAAAGTATTTTGATATTTGAGAGGGTTGCAGAGAAGTACATAAGACAGTCTTGCCCCCAAAGAACTTTAAAATCTACTGTTTTCATAGACTAAAGGGTAAGAGAGCAGATTCTAACTTTTTACTTCTACGTTAATGTATCTCTCAAATGGTCAGATCCAAGCTGACCAAGGGGAATGAGGGGAAAAGCCAAGATCCTCTGCTCCATGCTTGGTCTTCCTGCTACCTGGCTAACTGTAGCCTGAATGGGCACCTGGAAGAAAGGGTATCGCACATCTTTTCCTGTTCCCTGCCATTTTCCTCTTCCTCTACCCTCTACCTCACCCCTAATATGTCCCAAGTCTGCCTCAGTGGGGTGATTTATTGGTTCTCAAATCATGCTGATGAATGGAACAGGCTCTGACGTCATTGTCATGACAGGCTGCCCTTCCCAATGCCAAAAGTTAGATCGTGCTTCAAGGTTCTGATCTCCAAGCCCCCCTCAGATCAGAAACCCAAGCACAGCCTTTCTTAGAAAATATTGAATTTATTCTTCCATCCAAAGATCCTTATGATCTTGGAAAATATTTCACTCATAAGAAAAGGAACAAAGATTTTTTAGTTTAGTTCCTTCCACTCCATTATCTCCTCATGAAATGACCACCTGTGGGCCAATTGCCCCAGCAAAGCCAAATACAGGGACCATCAGATTCACTACATTCTGAGATAGTTCATAAGAAAGCTGCCCATGAAACAAACATCATTTAGGCTATTTATCTGATCCAGGTGCAGAGGCTAGGACAGTGTAGTGTGCATGATAACAAAAGGAAAGCTTTAACTCAAAAGGCTCAAAACCCAAACTTGGTTAAGGAAAAATTAGCTGCTCCTAAACCAGAATGGTGAAATACAATATTTTATTCTTACTGGGATTTTAGTGAGTTCAACTGACTCTTGTAGGACTTGGGATAATCTAGTTTCTATCAAATGGCATGGCCATTGCTTCAGGCCCTTCCAAGTTCTTCCATTCATACAAATCCATGGCCATAAAGAAAAAAAACGAAAACAATTTTCCATTCTAATCCCAGTTCTTGCCCATCTGCTCTGAAAGTCAGAAAGGTACCTTTGGCCCTCGAGTACATACACCCTCTAAATCTTCCTTTGAAGATGTGATCAATCAAAACACCACATCTTCATTTTCTCATACTTGAGGTTTTCTCTGTGTCCATTCTATTGCAAAATTGATAAAACCTTATTTTCTTCAACTGCTAGATTAAATTTTAAATTAAATGGTTCTGTAGCTTAATCACTCTATTGTTAATAACAATGCCTTGCATTTATGAGAGCAAGTACTTCCCAAAAGCTCTAATTAAGACATGACTAATATATCTGACAGCATATAGTTTGGAAAATCTTATATTTTCAGTTCTTAAGGTGAACAAGAGAAAGTGTTGTAAATCTACCATGTCCTACATTACCCAAATGTCTCTCTTTTCTTAACCTTCACATATCTGTGAAAGTGACTTGATGCCCTTCTGAATAATTGGGGAATTTTATAGGTGTTCATATCCTGATAAAGAAACTATTGGACTATTACATCTATGTCATAACTGGGTTAAAGGGGGTCCTGTAAGAGCTGATTTAAATTTTCCTTTCAAATATTATTTCAAATTTTCTGGCCCTTTAAGAAATAGGGATCTAAGAGAACAGTTTCTTCAGATCTATTTTTAAAATTTATTTCTGGCCATCTTACTCATTATTTCAACAAAGAAATAAAATAAGTCATGGAATAAAGCAGGCATAGGCTCAAAATCCACACATATCCATGAGGTAGGATGTCCTCTGATTCTTTTTTTTTTTTTTCTTTGAGACTAAGTCTTGCTCTGTCGCCCAGGTTGGAGTGTAATGGCGCGATCTCGGCTCAGTGTAACCTTCACCTCCAGAATTCAAGTGATCCTCCTGTCTCCAGAGTAGCTGGGATTACAGATCCATGCCACCTTGCCCAGATAATTTTTGCATTTTTAGTAGAGACATGGTTTCACCAGGTTGGCCAGGCTGGTCTCAAACTCCTGACCTCAGGTGATCCAACCACCTGGGCCTCCTAAAGTGCTGGGATTACAGGTGTGAGCCACAGAGCCCAGCCTGATTCTATTTCTTTTCTTTTCTTTTCTTTTTGAAATGGAGTCTTGCTCTGTTACCCAGGCTGGAGTGCAGTGGTGTGATCTTGGCTTACTTCAACCTCTGCCTCCTGGGTTCAAGCTATTCTCCTGCCTCAGCCTCCTGAGTAGCTGGGACTATAGGTATGTGCCACCACGTCCTCCTAATTTTTGTATTTTTAATAGAGACAGGGTTTCACCATGTTAGCCAGGATGGTCTGATCTCCTGACCTTGTGGTCCACCCACCTTGGCCTCCAAAATTGCTGGGATTACAGTCATGAGCCACCGTGCCGGCCCTAATTCTATTTTTTTTAATCTGTGATATATATTACCCAGGTTACTGCTTTGTTGTAAGAATTTCTAGAAGAAAATGGATATTCAAGTATGCTATCTATCATATATATTTTCTGAATCTATTAATATTCACTGAGTGCTTGCTCTATACCAGGTACTAAACTGGGCACCTTCTATGTAAATTTTCTCATTTACTAGGAGGTAGGTTTTAGTCCCCCAGTTTCCCCAGTGAGAAAAATGAAGTGAAGAAAAGGCGGCTGACTTACCTAGGCCAAAAAGATTGCCTTTTATACATGAAGTGCCTTTTTGAAGACCTTGCAAAGCTTGACTGAGTTTATATATTTTAAGACTATTCTCATAATAGCAGATATTGGGTATTTCCATTCACCAGGTAATGTGAAAAGATTTCAATAAAATCAACACAGTTTATAATTCAATAGGCCCAAACAGCTTTGAAATTATGCAGTTCTTGATCGATTTGAGAGGAATTGCATTAATTCAAGTTGTTTGCCTTAAAAGTGATTTAATACTTTATATTCAATACTTAATTCAAAATTGTATAAAATGGACCAAACCAGATCACATGACTGAGCTAGAGCACCAGTTCCTAACCCCAATATCCTAAACTCAAATCCAGAGTTCTTTCCATTATATGTTCTAACCACCCATATTTTCTACAGAACTGAGAAGTATCCCCTGACAGTCAGGGTGAATACAGTCATAGTTAAACTGTAACAGCTGGGGTGGGTGGTATTCAAGTGTAAAATCAATGGAGTACACAAAAGAGAAGAAAAGAATTGTGAGGTATGTGTGTTTTTCAATAGTATTTGTTTTTTCTTCCCTCTAGCATGTGGATTAAAGGACACAGGGACTCTGAAGCGAGGGAGATTTATAAAAACCTAGTCTTCTCTCTAATGGGCTTGGACTGGGGACAGAGAAGCAGGATTTACCAGCTGTGAGACACAAGATAGCTGGCTTGAGTATTCTGACAATCAACTACCCAAACTCTAGCTACCTCTCTAGGAATCCTTGCATTTCTACTCCTACCCCACCAAGGAGTTAGGCCTTGAACAGGTCTCCAACTCTCCAATTACATCACCTTGCTGAGACTACAGAAGGCTCCAAACAGCATAAAGCCTGAAGAAAAGCAAAAGGCAAATAGTTTCTCAGTATAATCACATTGCTTCACTCCCTCATAGCACCAGTAGTGGTAACTACGATAGCCAAGCCCTGAAATACACTTACCCTGACCTTAGAACCAGCCTGATCCCTCACAGCTAATGAGATGTCCTAGACTTGGCCACTGTAACTCCGAGGATTCAGAAACTGGTCAACTTTGCAGCTTTATGGGATTCTAGGTTTTCTGACGACATTCATTCATCACTCAAATATTTAGTCCCTATCAGGGGCTATATTCTGTGCTCTTCCTAGTTCCTGCCCTCAGGGAGCTCACAGTCAACTTAGTAGTAGCAATGGTAGTGGGGAACAGAAGAGGTGGCAGGATACAAACTATAAACAGGCAATTGCAGTATAGTATGATCAATGCTACAACAGGATAAAGACAAAGTGTGAGATGCTTTAAGAACATATAGGAATGGCACCAAGCCTAGCTCTTGGGAGAAGTATCACTGAAGTGGCCTACAGTATAAATGAACATCAACTAGAATAAACAGCATGATGAGGAGACAGAACGTATCAAGGCAAACATGTGTAAGTGAGAGTATGGAATGTTCAAGGAACTCCGGATGGGTGACTATGTTTAGAGTAAGAGTCAAAGGTAAGTATGGTGAACACCATTAGGCAGGTGAGGCACAGGCAGAAGCCAGATCATGGGAAACCTGTACGTATGAAGACCTACCAGTCTAAAGAGTTTGGGCTTTATTCCACTGGCAATGGCAAGCCACTGAATATTAGAAGTAAGGCATGTTTAGATTTGCACTGGAGGAAGATCATCTTTTGTGGATCAGCTTGTGAAGATTAGAAGGTGAAGAGGAGGAGTCAAAGAAGGAAGGATAGTTAGAAAATCAGAGCATCCCAAGCAAGAGATGACTGTCACGTGGATGACAGAGGTGGTAAGTAGTATGAAGAATAAGAAATTAGCTAAAAAAAATATTAAAGAGATGGAAAAAATAGGTCTGCTGATTGACAGAATGTGGTTGAATGAAAAAGAAGGACCGATGGTGATACTAAATCTCTAAGTGGGAAAATGGGGCAAATGCTATTGCTGCTCCCTAAGACGGACACAGGAAGAGAAACAGTGTTCAAGGAGAGTTGCTTATGAGGGACCAATGCAGCATCTAAGTAGGCAATGATAAATAGAGGGGCTGGATTCTTAGAGACAGACCAGGGCTGGCAATATATATTTGAGGATGATCAGGAGGGTGACCAAAACCACAAGTCAGATAACACCATTCAGAGTAGGCAGAGAGGGAAGATGAAACTTGGGAGAAAACCCTGAGGAATGTCAATATTTATAGCACCGATAGTATATTGTTAAATCAGAACTCAAGCTGCTAAATAATGTATATATAGTAAGAACCCACAGAGAGAGGTGGAGGAGTATATCAATGTTTGTATACTTGTGTGTGTGTGTGTGTGTGTATTATTACTCGGTACTTATGGTTTTTTATGTGTGGTATGTTAATTTATAAGTTAATTGCTTGAATTGTTTAATGAGCGTGTTTTGCTTTTATAATTTAAAATAAGAATATTTAATTTTAAAACATTTAAGGGACAGACAGATGGAAATGATACTGCAGAGAAGACCAAGAAGGAGAAATAGAAATAAAATGCAAAGCGGGTTATCATGAAATCTTCAAGAAGGACGCTCACTGCCTGACCCATTTGTTTCATATTGCAATGAAATGCTAAAGAATTTTAACTCCATTAGGAAAACAGGGTAAGAAAATATAAGAAACATTAAATATTAGTAAAATACACTCAACAGTATGACTTCTGTCTTAAGATGTGATAATGTTCTTTAAAAATAGGTGCCACTGTTCCTTATGTTCTACTTGTGTTAGACTTTAATAAAGGCATGCAATTTTCAAAAGGAAGGAATCAATAATCATGGTTAAATGGAACACCTGGAGCAGTGATTCAGCACCTATAAATATGGTAACACAAGCTTAAGCCTTTCTACTAGAACTTAGTCCTATGCATAGAACAGAGGTATAATAAGAAGGCCCCTTTGTCAAGTCTGTCCTCACTCCTCAGACATATGGCCTCTCAGGTCAGAAGCCAATGAATTATTTTGAGTTCAAAAGGTTACTAGGATTTTAAATATAGGAAATGCTAATTTGGGGGAGGTTTTTTTTGTTGTTTTTTCCTTTTTATTTATTGATTTTTTTGGGTAAGAGACAAGGTCTTGCTATGTTGCTCAGGCTGGACTCTCCAACTTCTAGGCTCAAGTGATCCTCCCACCTTGGCCTCCAAAATAGCTGGGACTATAGGCACATATTACCATGCCAGCCTTTAATTTCTGTGATTTTAATATAAATTAAGTACATATATATAATTTAAATTATCTCCCTCTGAGCTGAGGCTTAAGATCCCTTAAGTACCTCTTATTTGCCTTTTGGGAGGCTGAGGCAGGTGGATCACCTGAGGTCAAAAGTTTGAGACCAGCCTGGCCAACCTGCCTCTATTAAAAATACAAAATATTAGCTGGATGTGGGGGCACATGCCTGTAGCCCCAGCTACTCAGGAGTCTGAGGCAGAGGAATCGCTTGAACCTGGAAGAAGGAGGTTTCAGTGAGCCAAGATCATGCCACTGCACTCCAGCCTGGGTGACAGAGCAAGATTCCACCTCAAAAAAATAAAAATAAAAATAAATAAATAAATAATACCTCTTACTTAAAATAGAGCATTACCTTCTGGGAAAAGCCCCCCTTTTATTCCCTTTTTTTTTTTTTTTTTTTTTTGGCTGGAAAGGCAAACAGCCTGTTGATATGGAATCTCTACCATGTTATTTTCTGAAATTATTAAACTATATCTGTTATTTTTTGGTTTCAAATATCCCTCAATGTTTCATTTCGCAAGCTCCCTTGTTTGTTTTATTTAGCTTAGTAAGAATCAAATTATTCTATTTCCAAAGCAGTCATGAGAAAAATCCAAAATTACCATCACAAAGATTACTCCAGCTACTAAAGCTGCTGCATTACTGTCACAGCTTTCAATACTAGGCTCTCCTTATATTCTTGTATCAACAGGAGACATCTCTGCCTTCCCTTCTGCTGAACCAGTCATTGAGGATTTTAGGGCAAGTCCAACTGTTCTCACAAAATGTGCAACAGTTAACAAAGGAGGATCATGTCATTCTAACATTCCCCTTATAAAGACATCGTGGAAGCATCAGAGCTCTCCCATCTTACAATGAATGCATGGTTCTGTATTTTGTTTTTTTCATTTGAGAAAGACAAGAGATGGCAAGGGAATGAGGAAGGAAAATTATATTATCTCAGAAACAAGAAATGTGACGTGGATTTCACTTTCATAGAAAACAATTTAAGAAACTTTTAAAAACTGGGATAAAAATAAGGAGGAAATGGAATATTATGTACAGTGCTATCTCAAACTAAAAACCAATTAGCAAAAATAATAAATCAAATCCAGACAACAAAATTATTATATCTTAAGAGAATAGACATTTTGAAAATAGTGGTATCTTATGAATGCCTAGCATTCACTTGCATTTTAATGGTAATTTAAAGACGTCAAAACTTTCATGTTAGGTAAACAGTAATGCTCCAGTATACCCTCAGTAATACCCAAGGTGCTAGATTTGGGAAATGAGGTTCCACAAAGGTGCAAAATATTAAAAGGTCTCCAGCTACAATGTTAGCATAAAGCAGGACCAACTCTACAGCGGCCAACTTTCGTTTTATCAAAGGCTGCTCAAATAGCCTATATGTCTAATATCCCAACTAACAGTCATTAGGGCTGTTTATCTCTAAATCTTTTATCAGACTCTTCAGCCACAAGTAGAATATATTCCCTGAGAGGTGATCCCTTTAGGAAGCATGCTTCCTTCTATGCAATCAGAGCAGACAATACATTCGGACTGTGCTCCCAAGTGCTAGGATTACACTCGTTAGCCACCACGCCAGCCAAGAGTATCCGCTTTCTATGGCCTGCATTGTGCTTCTTAACGTGGGGTCAAGTCCACTGGGGATAGGAATGGCAGGAATGTTCTGCAGGGGGTTGCAAGCCCACCAGATACACAATGCAATGAAAGCTCCATGAAGGCCACTCTCACATCGCTTTCATTCTCCATAATCTCACACAGACATTATGTGATATTTTTGAATGAGTTATTAGCATAACTCATTAACATGGCATAGTATCCTGGGATAACAAATTTAAGTGATGATTTAGAGAGACACTGACCTTAAGATCACTGTTTTTTATTTTTTAAGAAAAAAGTAAATAATGCTGCTTACCAGCTTCTATCTAACATTTATTATAAGGAGCATACTGACTTCAGTGATATTAAAGTGTTAGAAATACGTGAATCTTAGGATTGATGAAAAGAGGTCAGTTCTGCAGCATGCAATATTCACACCACGCACTCAACAATAGGCACCACCACTATGACCACCGCTCACAGCTCAGATCTCATTTCTTGCTGCATTCACTCCCACTCCTAGAGCTGACTTCTTGGCTTCTCAGCTCAAACCAAGATTAGGGAGCGTACTTCTGACTGGTATCACCCTAGTTGTGCCCATGTCCTAGCTGAAAGGGAGGCTGAAAAAGCAAATAGTGGCCTATTCACTTTTTATAGTGAATAAAACATTCTTCTTTTCTCCCTCCAATGGGAAATTCTCCAAGCACAAGAACAGAGTTCAGATGCTTGGCAGCCAAAATAGAATGACAAGTATCTCCTATAGGGAGATTTCAAAGAAACTCCCACCTATGGTAAAAGTTCATTCTCCTCAGCTGTTAGAATTTAGAAAATGTTTGCAAAGCACCAGAGTAAGAAAACTCATTAGGATGGAATCCAAGGCTCTTACAATCCAGCCCCTACAAACTTCCTGTCTAGCTTCCATCACCCCATCCTTTCCACATCCTACAGTCCACAGATGACTAATTAGGTGGCAGCTCTCGAATTCCACTGTCACTCATGTCTTCACTCACAGTGTGTTCCCTCAGCTTAGAAAACTTCCCTCCTCCTGGAATTTCCTCTACTTAAATAACTCCTATTTTACAACTTGGGCCAAAAATCACCTCTTATGTGAACTTTTCCATATAGCCCTTATTTTTGTGATCTTTTAGCATTTTATTCATAATCTATCATTTGAAGGAAGAGGTCCCTACCCAATATCTGAACAAAAAACTGAATTCATTGCTTGCTAAAGCAAGGAAAACTGCACTTTCAGAGGCATTCTCCTTGAGCAAAGCAAAGAGCTGATCTTCCTCAGGGCTTGGAGAGCCTCAGCGTTCAGGCACTGGCAGACTGCCAGAAGCTGGAATGTTTAGGCATTAGTTGACCTTTAGCGCAGAAGTAACACTGGAGTGAGAATTTTGCTGACTGGCTGACTAACCTGAATGTGCACTACAGTTTAGCTGTTGCCAATTGTCTGGCTTTACAACTGTATGTGTTGTTGGCTAGCTTTCAGAAGCAAGCTGACTGGCTAGCTTACAGAAGCACAAATGATTGCCAAAGCAAATTGTTATTGACTCAGCTAAACAGGTACAAAACACAGTTCCAATGGTTACTGGTCACTGTGGCCACAGAACAATAGGTCTTTTCCAGAGAGGACAGGAGCTTTTTCATTTTCTTTTTTCTTTTGTGTGTGTGCGTGTGTGTGTGAGTTGGAGTTTCACTCTTGTCACCCAAGCCGGAGTGCAATGGCATGATCTCGGCTCACTGCAACCTCTGCCTCCCTGGTCCAAGCCATTCTCCTGCCTCGGCTTCTTTAGTGGCTGGGATTACAGACACCTGCCACCACACCTGGCTAATTTTTGTATTTTTAGTAGAGATGGGGTTTCACCAGGGGGGCCAGGCTGATCTCAAGTTCCTGACCTCAGGTGATCCACCCACCTCCCAAGGTGCTGGGATCATAGGCATGAGCCACCGTGCCTGGACCAAACTTTTCATTTTTATTCTCACTATTGTCACAATGTATTAGAATACAATAACCACACTGATAGCTAACATTCTAACATTTATTGAGCTTTTACTATGTACTATATATTACAGTAAATAATTTAAAAGGATTGTCTCATTTAATCCTTCAAACAAACCTTGTAGTTGGGTCGTACTATCCCCCATATTTCAGATTGTTAACCTTAGATGCCTCACTGGGATTCAAAGACAAATAGAATGACAGCAAAGGCAGTGCTCTTAACAGTGCATGCTAAGGACTCTGCCTCCTGTTCCTATCACTGTTACCGCAGGATAGGTAACATGCCTGTCCCAAGCACAAACACCAGGGCTCATCTCTTTTCACATCCACAACTACAGTGGCCCCTGGCCTCTCAAGCAGAGGCACCCTCCAATGTCAGCTGTTAAAGGAGTGAAGAAAGAGGGCCCTGAATCATTCTATCAGTTCAAAACCTGGACTGACAGGCAATAAGATCTGCATCTTGCCATCTACCTGTGACAAAGTTGATAATAAAACTAACATCCTGCACAAACTGTCAACTACATTTATGATTTTGAGAAAGCCAGGCCATAAGATCATATGTTCCACCTGGTTACCAGCCACGTTGTAGCTAATTCTCCATCTTCGATACAACTACTAAACCTAAATGGCTAGTCATCAACCTGCCTCAGCTTCTTCAAGGTAGAAGTCCCCACTCCATACCATTGTGTAGTCACCAGATCCCAGTCATAGTGCCCTATGCCCATATATCTCCACTCTGTCAGTCTACTTAGTGCCCCACATCCTCCTGGAACAGAACCCCATCATTCCTGTCAGTTACCCTGGAGCAGCAAAGAGCCAGCCCACTCTAACTTCAGAAAGCCCCTTCATTTGGCGATGAATTACTATAATTTGTTGGCTTTAAAACAGCAGAACTTTATTCTCTCACAGTTGTGGAGGCCAAAACTCCAAGATCAAGGTTTTTAGAAGGGCCAATCTCTCTTCAAAGGCTCTAGGAAAAAAATCCTTCCTTGCCTTTCCAGCTCCAGGTGGCTCCTGCTACTCCTTGGCTTGTGGCAGCACCACTTCAGCCTCCGCCCCCACCCTCACGTGGCCTTATTCCCTACATGTCTCTCTGTGTCTGCTCCTCTTTCTATAAGGACACCAGGGGTTGGCTTTAGGGCTTACCCTAAATATTCAAGATGCTCTCATCTGAATTCTTACATGAATTATATCTGCAAAGGCCCTATTTCCAAATAAGGTTACATTCTGAGGTTCTAAGTAGACATGAATTTGAGGGAGACACTATTCAGGTCATTCCCCTCAATGTACAAGAGGGAAAATATCCCCTATAGGGAGATTTCAAAGAAACTCCTTCTTATGGCAAAAATCCAGTCTCCTCAGGTGTTAGAAATTAGAAACAGAAAAACGTTTGCAAAGTATCAGAATAAGAAAACTCATTAGGATAGAATCCGAAGCCTTCACAATCCAGCTGCTACAAACTTCCTTTCGGTCTAGCTTCCATCACCCCATCCTTTCCACATCCTATGGTACAAGGATGACAAATTAGGTGGCAGTTCCACTATCACTCATATCTTTACTTCCCACAACTTAAAAGACTACAAAACAGAAAACAAAGACCCCTTTAGGCACACTAAACCCAGCATTACTGATGAAACACCATGTTCCCGAGCCTAATTTGGCAAATCGAGCAAAACTGACTGATGGTTTTGCTCAAAAAGGGACTGCTAGTGCAATTGTTAGTTTGAGAAGTGAAAGGAAAGTCCAGCTCAGTGTGCGTAGGGCAGGCTATTTTCAAAACATAACAGAGGCCCCAACATAGCTAAAAAAGGTAACTTTTTAAAATCATCCATTCCGAAATAAGGGGGCAGAGGATTATTTTATGTGTGTGTGTGTGTGTGTTGAAGACATACTTTTTAGTCTTGTTTGCAATGGAAACATTTCTCTCTAAAGAACACATCTCTAAAAGGCTCTGAGACAACTCACAGTTAGCAATTAGTTCACAACTAAGAAAGAGGAAGCCAAAATAAACCAACTTCAAAAGTATCTTAGTCAACAAAAAAATGTGTTCAGAGGTATGGCCTTGCAATCAGATTCTATAATAAACTGTAGGTGTGTCAATTCTGAAATTTTAACACAATTATAAATATTTCAATGACAGAAAAATAAAACTCAAGAATTTTTGCAGTTACTGCATTTTCTGATTTAAAAGACTTTAAAAAAATAGTCTGCAAAGACTTTTATTATGTTAAGTTAGAATATTATCTCCATTATCCAGAGATTAGCATCCTGTCTCCTTTAGTGCCAGCTCCCTGCTTCCCCCTCATCCTGACGCCTACCTTGAGCCCATCCCCATCTCAGCATAGAGTTGATTACCTCTTGGTAAACTGCCTGGGCTCCTCACTCACCCCCAAACCCTGGAGACTGCAAGGCTGCATGGGCTAGAGTGCAGCTCACCAGATTCCTGCCCGGAACTTGGCTCAAGGACGGCCCTAACATCCAGACCCTTGTGTCTCCAGACATCAAGGACCAACTGCTGAGTCCTGACTGTTTTTTAGCATGAGGTGGGAGTGGAGCACTCAGAGCTATATAATAGGGTTTTGCACTTGTTTTCTCTATTTCCATCTTGATGCTTCACATCAAGTAGAAAAGGTCACAGCTGTCAAAGTCTTTATAGGTAACCAGTGAAAAAAAATAAACAAAATGTGAAAGGAAAAAGCCTTAAACCATTAGTATTGTTCTATTTTATATTAGATTGGTGCAAAAGTAATCGTGGTTTTTGCCATATAATGGCAAAAACCACTATATGGCAAAAACCACGATTACTTTTGCATCAATCTGATGTTTAGAGTTAAACTAATTCAGGCTTCTGTTCCATCCTTTTGTCTTTCAGAGGGAGCAATAACTGGGTCTTCAGAGGACCATGCGCTCTGGTTCCTAAATCAAATGTCCGTTTCAATACAGCTGAGAAGACAGTAAGCAATGGGGAGGAAAAACCTGACAGAGGGAAGAGGTGGGAGGGTGAAATGCCCTCCTGTGGATCCACGAGCACAACATTCACTGATTTTCTCCTGGTGAATTTTAAATCTGGTAGGTCATGCCTTTAGTAAGGTCAGTGTTTTCTGGATTTAAACACACTAAAAGCCAACTGCTACCCCTACCATGATGGCAAATTGACTTACCTTTAAACCTTCAGTCTCCCTTTGGTTATTTCAAGTTAGCTACAGCTGAAAAGCCTAAAAATCTAACTCCAGAATGACCTTCCTTATTGGAAATTTCCCTGGCACGCAGCAACATTACCAAGCCACACAATCATAATATTGTAGCTCAGCATGTTAAAGAACAAAAGAGGCAGTGCTGAACATCTTTGTTCCTGTAAGAAATCCCTTAATTGTGGCTACAACTTATTAAGCAATAAAGGTAGAGAGGGTTCAGCTAAAATAAAAAAAGATTCATAACAAAACATGATGACCTTTGTTGGGTGGGAAGGCAAAGTTCCTTCATAATTTAAGCACATCAGTTACCCGTGCCTGGAGGCATCATAATAAAATGATGCTTAAAATAGTTAACTTATCCTTACCTGTGACACTAGCCTCAGTATAGAGCAGCAGTTTTCAAAGCCACAATGTTCTGGCTGGCTGCTTATCTCCAACAGGATTAATGCTCAAAACATGGCTCCATTGTTCTGTCTGTCTGTGCCAGGAGCAATGTCACTGTTGATCATTTAACACAGAAGCTGGCTTATAAAAGTCGGCCTTCCTATTGACTTGATGACAGCCTTTGCTCATGGCAGTATCCTATGGGAAGGTGGTGTACAGAATTTGAGGGCAGATTTTCAAACTTTTTGAGAACATCTATCCAATTTTCAAGGCTTTATTATCCCAAGAGAGTGAGCAGCTTTTTCCAGGATGTTTCATGCTGTTTGAACACTCAAGATAAAATAAATAGTGCAAAAAACCTCCTAGACAGTCTGCTAACTTCCTTTCCTATGCTGTCTTTAACTACCCTTTAAGGTTCGAACTAAAACAAAAAAAAAAAAAAAGAAAAAAAAATCCTGGCAGCTCTCAGATCACGTGGGTACAGCTGGTTATTTCTACCTTGGGAGGAGAAGGTGCATTCGATTAAATGTTCATGCCATTCATTCTTGATAGGGTCACCCAGAGTTAGTAGATAAAAACACAGGATGCCCAGTTAAATTTGAATTTTAGATAATGAATTTACATTTAGTAAGTAATTTATGTAAGTATATCCCATGCAATATTTGGGACATACTTACTCTAAAAACATTCTTCATTGTTTATTCGAAATTCAAATTTAACTGGGCATCCCATATTTTATGTGGCAACTACATTTCTGGAAAACTATGGGGCCCCAAATTGCAGGCTTGAGATTAATATGTTATGTCTCAGTTCCTGAGTGCTATTTAACCATGTTTAATAAAGTTAAGATAAGCAATTGTTAATTACCCAAAATGTCAGTTCATTTTGTTTCTGCTGTCCAGACTTTCCAAACAGCTTTACTTCTAAGCTCCAAAACAGGCTAAGTCCTTGATAAGCTGTTTTCTTTGACTAAAGAACACCCTGCTCTTGGATAAATATCACAAAGAACATGAGGATGTGCATTTGCATATGTATGTGTACGCAGAAACCCAGCTCCCATATCTGACAATATCCAGATTGTTAAATCCCCTCTCTTTAGAAAGTATTTTTGAATCAAATTTTAAAATGTCTCTAAATCATGGCACCACAGGTTCAGCTGGCATAACCCAAAGTCACTCCAATTTTCTAACGAGAGCAAGACCACCATTATTCCTAAATAAAACAGCAAAAGTAATGAGCTTGAAGTTTCATTTGGCAGTAAGAAAGAAATCAGCGCTAGACCTACTGCTTTGTTCCCTATAATAATGAAGCAGGTGTTTCACTGAAGGGACACTTGTACAAAAGTTTAGTTCCTGTTCAAAACAATAATATAATAGCCCATATATCCTTTGGTGATACTTAATTAACCTAATTAATATTCTTTTTCTTCTTTTAGTCCTTGACATTAATAACATTACTACTTCAGTGGTGTAAAGGGCTAGAAAAGAAAAAAGACCAATTAACTTCGTCTTGCTTTGGGTTATGCGCTATCTTGAGTAGGGGATGTGGAAATCATTAGTGCTATTGTCCAGTATTTCATTCTCTCTCTTAGGATATATTGTAGAATTGTACTTCCTGGTTCATTGAGTTATGGGGTTGTGGTTATGGTGAAGCACATGACTAGCTCTGGCCAATTAGTAGAGAATGGAAATGCTATGTGTTACTTCAGGTTGGATCTTGTAATAGTTGGTGCAGGACCCTCAAGATATCTTGCTCTCTCACTTGGAAACCAGCAACATTCAAGACCGCAACTGTTTCATTAGGTTGAGTCTTTAGTTGACTGAGGTGAACAGACACCTACTGATGACCAGTGATGGCTATGTACCATGTGTGAGAAATGCACTTCTGTTGGTTTAAATCACTAAGGATTTAGGTTATTTGTTATTGCAGCAGAGTTCAGCCCAGGCCAATTCATGAAACACGAAATTAAGGAGGTTTTTGTGTTTATGCAAGCCAAATGTGTCTATAAAACACTTTAAAAACTACTTCTAATCCCCTAAAACTTGAATGTTTAAGTTTATATCATTTTCATGATATAAACATTATCATTAACTTTAATCCTCAACAACCTCTTAAGATAGATATAATTTGTGATCTCCAATTTAAAGATAGGAAAAATGACACAAAGAGCTGGTAAGTGATACTTAAAGTCACACAAAAAGAAAGTAGCAGAAGGAATTTGAACCCATGTCCAAATTCATGGGTTCAACTATGGACCATGTGTTTTACCACATCAGTAAATTATTACTCAACTATGTATCTCTTGGGTTTATGAAAGGAAACGTCTCCACAGTAGAGGCAGCAGGTCTTGGAACCCAGCGGAGGGTCAACAGATACCAATAGGGACAAAGGTGCCTCATGAATGCTCCTCTTCTCTCCATGTATCAGTAGATCTTGATTGGACTGAATTTATATGGCTACATAATAGTAGAAACTCTCTTTGGAACTATATCGGAAAAACCATAAATTCTTTAAATCAGAATTTATTTAAGTATGAAAAAGTTGCATAGGAAATGGCAAATGGACAATTTTAACAGTCATCCTGTATGGCAGCCATCTGCACCTCTGTTTAATATTCCAAGCAGCATGTAAGTAGGAATCAGTCCTTACCATCCTCAATTGCTACACTCAACCAACACCATCAATACCTTCATGTTTATTATTTTAAGGAGGATTCTTCCATAACTTCCATCACAGATGAAATATCAGTTACATAATGTGGCCTTGAGTGCTACAATACCAAATTACCAAATTCTCCATTGATTTATATAAAAGTCTCAAATAAATTACATTGTTTTGAATGCAAACTCTGTCTGAGTGCTAGGTTTTTACATTTCTGAGATGTATTGTGTAGGCAGACTAAGTACATCACTTCATTTAAGATTTCTTCATGTGAGTATTTAAGCTGAATATATTTGTATATTTTCAAAAAAAAGTAATAAAGTGATTTTACAGACATCTCAGGTTCCTTCCTAAAAATACCATTTTTTGTCAGCTTAATCATTAAGCTTTAACAACAGGCTTAATTCAAAGAGGAGGATCAGAATCTGATAGACCACAAGAAACCAGTAAATCCAAACATTTCACTCAGTGGATCTCACTTTCAGGACCCTGCATTTCTCCGAGCCCTGTCACCCTGAAACTTCACCATTTCATCTTGGGACAGTGAAGGAAAACTTGGAACACAAACCCAGAGGACCACTTTTCTTCCTGACCAGTAACAGATCTTCCAGTAAATCCATACCTAAACAGAAACTGATGTAAAAAATATAAACTGGAGCTGCTCAATCATGCATGAGAAATAATACAACACAAACTAATGTGTCAAAACAATTGTCTAACTAAGACCAATTGTTAGGATCTCAGTGAATTCAAGCTCTAGACACACTGCAAGAAGCAAGCCCTCAAAGGCATATTCAGAACCTAACAGTCTTCCTCTCACTGAAAAGCGAGTGGAATTTCTATTCGAGGTTTGTTTTAGCTTTTCAGTGCTCTCAGAATCAATCAGCTGTTCTGGTTTTCTTGTTCTCACAGTTTGAAGTTGCTCAGTGGATCAGTAATACATCAAGAAAAAAATTTATGGACGCACATAAAGTATGTCCATAATTGAAAACATAATCTTAGTTCTTTTGGGGGGTAGAAGAGAAATGGCCAAGAATTAACTATTGTCTTTATCTTAATTTAGAGTCTAATACAGTAAGAATAAGAACTATGCCTTCTGATACCAGAAATATAGTAAACACTTCATAGTTAGGTTATTTTGCCTGAAAGTGTCTAGGGAGCTTTTTGTCTCTAGAAAGATAAAAATGAAAATTTCACAATCAGACCTAGATCTCTCTTCAGTCTCTTAACACATCTATAGGGACAAGTGGAAGAAACCTGATGCTGATATACACCAGACTAAACAGCTGGTCTCCCTGAGGAGGTGGATTAGCAGTATGATCACAGTGTATAGCTCACTACAGAAAAGCTCTATATAGCCTCCTATTTTTTGTCTTCTGCTAAAATAGCCACCAGAGGAGAGGGCAGCAGGACAGTGCATAGCATGATGCCAGATGGCAGGGAGTGGGGATGACAAGACTGCATCTACCATTGCTAAAAATAAGTGCCCTCCGGACAGTTATGAGGTCCATTACAGGAAGTTGGTTCTGTTAGTTAAGTCTAATTCTCCCAAATTGAGTTGTCAAGGATTAATTTTATTACTTACATGGTGATCAATACAGGATCATTGTTAATTTTTCATGAAATATTATAACATATAATCCATACGTTAAATTGGTTCTCCTTTCTGAAAAGGGTGTTTGCTATCTAATTAGATATTATATAAGAGTAAACTGTCACTGGATTCCACTTTGATCAGGAGTTTATGCTTAGCAACAACCAACTCAACATCTCATTCTAACTTCAAGTTCATCATCTCAAGGAACTCTGGCGATAGCATCCCTAAAACTTGTCCTTCCAGGAGACAGATCATTAAATGGTCCTTATCCAAGGCATTCTTTTGCAAAGCCTATTGTCTACGGAAGAAAGAGATAAACAAGCAGAAAGGAAAACTGACTCCAATTCAAACAAATATTCTCCTTATTCTAAATACCTTAACTTATTCGAGGGCATTCTTGCATTGCCTTCCAGTTCCTGGTCTTCTGTTATTTCAGCAAATATAACTAAATCTCTCCCATTTTCATTTTTTCATTCAAAGTGGGTGCAAAACTGGAATCAGTCATTCATGAATGCACACAAAAATCTCAGATTCTGCCACCCTACCCATGGTTCATTCTCATATAAGTGGTCAGTGCCAATATTAAAGAAAAGTTGCTCAAACTAAAATTTGAATCTGATCCAAGTAGAACTTCTGATTCTGACTTTGGGGATCAGAATAAAGGTAAGAAAAGTGGAACATTAAGCCAAATGTTCAACAGTTACCATCTGGCTCCGTTTATCTGTTTCACACCTTTGTTTTTAACCTGGTTAGGATCAGCCTGAAGAGCCACTCTAAGGTCCTACCTCCAAACTTTGAGAAAAAAAGAACCCAGAAATGGCAATAGCACACAATCTATGATGGTGCTCTTCTTCAGTTTCAAAGAGGGTTGGTTTTAAATTTATGAAGGTTGTGCCCATAGGCCTTCATAGTGATTTTGGGGAATGATGATCCTATAGCACAACCATTAGAACTCAGTATCTTGATGATGGCAACAAGCATCAGGTAGGATTTGTAGCTGCAACATTAGCTCAATTCCCCCAAATAAATGCAGCTTTACAAACAGAACCACTCTCCCAACCATATTACATGGTAAACTGAATTAATATGACATTTTTCCTGTGATGAAAACTCTTATGAAATAGTTTTATCAAATTCTCCCATATTGATCCAAGTCCTGGTGGAGCTTTGCTTGATATTAGAGAATGATATCAATCAGTGATAAGTGCAGTTATTATTTAGAATGTTGACTTATCCACAGCC